CCGGATTATATTTGCAACGACCGCTTAGTCCTTTTTATAAGGCATAGTTGGGCGTGATCAACCAACCCCTCGTCAGCTGCCAAAAAAAGAGAGAGAAAAAGGGGCGGGATGGTACACTATCAAAAACTAGAAGTGGTAACCACCACTCTGCATCTACCACCAGTTCACACCACATGATCAAGGAAATACATATTGGAAGTCATTTCTCATGCGAGTTATGGACAACTTAATTAGCATTCACCTGCTATAAAGTTAAGGGTTCCATGACAAGCCAAATCTCCAATGGAACGCATTCAATATAAAGCAGACCCACAACATGACAAGTGCTTATGTGAATATCTTCAAAGGGATGCGAATGACATACGTTAAATGACAACTCATGATTCCCTTCTCCCTTCATTTCAAATGGACCGCATACTTTTGAATTTGCAGAGAGTGTTATTCGTTAATGTTAATCAAGAAAACAAGTGGAGCAAAACGAGATTACCGATTGGAAAAAATTACTTTGATTTGTTAGAAATAGAAAGGAGACCATGTTCCATTGAAAACATGGAGAAGTGTCAATTTAACTATGCTTATCAAGGAAGATAGTCAGGTAGGTTTCACCATTTACATGCACTCCTGAGGGAAAGGTCTCATAAATATGCAAAGAAAATGAGCAATACAATGTTGACGTAGAAGAGATAATTAATACCAGGGTAGCATCTGTGCAGAAGGATAAACAATGGACTTCTCATAAATTGCAGCAGCAGCAGCTGCAGCTTGGAGTCTAGCCTGGTGCTGGCTAACATGGCTGTTTGTCCTGGGATCTGCTTGCGAACCTTGAGATGTAAAACTTGTTCCTGGGCCTATTAGAGATTACCGGAGTGTTTAGTGAATAGATACCAGAACATTCATCACTTTGTACAAAGAAATACCCAAGTTTCCAATAGCTATAGATGAGTTTCTATAAGCACGACATCTTTTAAGAAAAGAAATAACAGATGACAATTAACAAGTAGGGACACAATTATTTAGTGTGCATCAAAAGAACTATTCCTTTTAAAATATAAAACAATTTATTCCACTACAATCACGTTATCTTCACTTATAATCAACAAATTTCAGCTGAAGTTTAATGCTCAAAACAGCTTATCATACTACATTATAAGTATGAAGCCCCAAAGTGAAAAGTCAAAAGACTAAAAAAAACCTTTAGATATTGAAAGATATTTTTGCCCTTGAAGTAAGTATTGTTTCAAAAATATTTTGACAAAAAATGTAAATACACATTTAACAAAAATAATTAAAAATAAAAAAGAAAAAGTTCAATAAAGATAACAAAAAATAAACTAAAATAGGAAGTATGCAAAACGTAGGCCGTTCAGATGACCAAAAACGTGAACCTATTCAGCTGGCCAACTTTTAATAAGGCCATCTATATTAATAAGACCTTTGAAGGTGTATTAAAGCTCAAGAGTGAAACAACCAACTACTAAGAACAAAAGAGTCAACCGTTACCCTTCAGTGCGTTAGTCCTTCAAAATTAGTATACAAATACGTTAAAAAGTATTTCGTAGGAGTAAATAATAATGATTGGTAAATTTCCCCAACCTTTGAACTTTCAGGTGACCCATTTTGGCTATTAATTTGTTCGGGTTATACCTTCGGCTCTTCTAAAAGCTCATGTTTCAGTAATATTTTTCAACATACTTCTCTATGCCTTACTTAATGTTGTGATCATTACCGTTGCTTGCCTTTTAGCCTAGAGAAAGGTTTCCTTGGTACTAAGACTACAAGACATTGTAGATCCTCTGTCATGTTTCAATTTTATCTTTTTATGCCTGCTAAATTGCTAGTGCATTACATATGAAAGATGACAGTTTTATATCCTCTGAGCATATTGTATCGAGGCTTCTTATTTTTCCTGTATTATTTTGAGTTTTTGGAGATTCAGAGATGTCTAGACTGATCTTTTTTCTTTCAGTTGTTGTATCTTCTATTTTTACTTAGTTTGTTCTATGTGTTGCATGGACCCCCATAATTTTCTTCTTATTTTCTCATTTTAGTCAGCTGGCAGACATGCCTCTTCGCTTCCTTTCAGTTATTTCTTTTGCAAGAAACTAATTATCGGTGTCAAATCTCAATAGCCATAAGAATATAATCATGCTCAAGAGCCTCTAAAAAGTTTCAGCCAGTTGAAACCTGAAATCCATATCACGCGATTCACTAGGTAGAATGCAGCCACATCTTAAGAATGCATGGTTTAGTCCAGTTTCAGCAATGGGGGTTGTTGGGGTTGCCACCGTAGATTGATAGTTCTCTTTGAAACTTATTAGCAGCTAAATATACAAAAGCGCCAATCTGAGGACTTCTGAAAGTTACGGTTACTTCCTGAATTAGTTATACAGAATTAACATTCATCATCTTTGGGAAATTAAATTTTTTCCTTAAATTTTATTTTGTAACTCACACGCAATTTTTATTTGGTTCTCAAAAAGTTTGTATTCATTGATAAAAGTGCCCAGAAACTAGTTACAAGGAAATGGGTAATTTAAACTCGATTCTACTATAGCAAAAAGCCATGTTGAGCAACATTTTAGAAAACTAAGCATCAATTTCCAGGCGTCATTCAAACTTACTTATTACAGTTGATACACAATATAAAGAATGGCAAATTATAGGTGATACCTTGCTGAGCATATCGAGATCCTGCAACATCAGTCCCATTTTCAGGTGGTACAACAAGGGCTCTGCATGTAGGACATGTGTGCTGACGTTCTAGCCATGACCGGAGGCAATTAACATGAAAGAGATGTCCACAAACAAGTTTCTTGGCAGTGGTCATCTCCTCACGACAAATGATACAGATGGTATCACCTCTGCAAGAGCATTAAATGTAACCATAATGATGAAGAAAGTGATGAAGAAACCATATGAACCAAGGCTCCAATAAGTGAGCAACTTACCCATTGAGCTCTTCCGGTGTAGCATCTGGAAAACGATCATTCATATTTGAAGTGATTTTTCGATAGCGTATGTAATCAGCAACTCGACTCTTGAAGTTGCGGAATGTCTCATAAAGTTCCCGAATCAAGTGCAGAGGCACACCATAATTGCTGAAAGTTCAGGAAAATAAATAAAAATAAACGAAGACAACAGGAAGAAAATGACCTTTTTCTCTATTTTGGACACTCTCCTTAGACTAATCAATCAAACAGGAGGAAGAAAGGAGGAGGGGGAGCAGAAGAAAATAAAATAAAATTTGACTTACATGAAAATCATGAGGAAGAAGCACATGTACATGGTCAAGTGGAGCAAGTCCCGAATAAGCTCCAAGTAGAAAGTATATACGGCCTTCCTCTCCCATTGTCCTTCCATAAGCATGTCACATACATGGAATGTATATTTCACAAATGTTGCAACAGTTGTTGTAGTGAGTATCATGTACCTGAGAGATAATGACAAAAAGGTAAAAGGTTAAACTTCACTTAGGAGCTGGATATGGGATACAGATAATTAATATGATCAAACTGTACTTGGTAAAACGATAGCAGCTATATGGTCAAACTGCACTTGGTGGCCAGAGTTACTAACGTGATTCCAGCATACATCAGGTGGAAAAACCATTTTGAAGTAAGCACACCCGTGAAAGGTCCTCGTGATGGATCTTCTATTGTCACCATAAAAGGTAAAATATGCACAAAAGCTATGATGAATGAGCCAGGAATGACAATTGACTAGCATTAATGATTAACATTCAGGTCTGAAATGATACCTGCTTTAATGGTGAATTTCAAAGCTTCTATGTCTAGTTTGAATATAAACAACGAAAGAACTGCATCAAAAAGATAAACAGCATTTGCAGGTGCAAAGATCCAACACCCTCCCTTTACCAAACCCAGTACAAATCAAATTATCTTTGAAAAAGTGTCATATATCCCCATGCCCCCAGCCCAACTAAGTGTTTATTTAAGGCAAAGGCATGAAACGTGCTTGTATAACTCGATCTAATGGTATCCAGTCTAATGAAGCTCTACACTGTCGCCTGGCATGTATCTAAAATGTGTCCAAAAGCACGACTAGACTAGCAGTAGAACTTTAAGAATCGTAGCACATATTCAGATGGAAAAAAAGACTAGAAATAAATTAGAACAACATGACTTACTCAAATGCAAAGAAGAGAGAAACAGAAGCCTGTCTTGTCTGTATCAAATGGTTCATGTAGTTGTACAAAAAGATACTATCAATGAGGAGGAGGAAGCCCATGAAAGAGACTATTCGAATGTGGGACAACTTAGTAACCGCTGGAGTTGTTTCAATATACTCAACCCGTTTCTGAGCCAACCAATGCAAAGACTTGATAAACAATAGTCCGGTAACCATGGCAAGAAAAATCACAGAGAAGTCTTGGCGGAAAATAGTAATTGCAAAAAGTATTTCCATGAGTTCCCGCCATGATTGTTCATTTAGCCTCTCCACCTCTGCCTCCCGAAGAGTACCAAGGAAAACTTTCTTGGTTAGCTGCCATAAAATGCACATAATGGCCAGACCCATGTTGAGGAGAAGCACCAGACTGATCTTAGATGTCGATAAATAAACCATTGCTGGGTAAAACTGGCCTCTACTGCTAAAGGGATGATAAATGACAGCTAGTGTAGCCATTACACTAAGCCCCGCATAAGTTTGTAGTCTCATCATTTTTTCTTAACCCTGTCACACAAACAGCCGACCCCAACTTTATTTGGGACTAAGGCGTAATTGTTGTTGTCCTGTCACACAAATACTATTCTGTCAATTAACAAGCTTTCAAGATGGATACAATCTTATTACTTTCTTTATCTCAAATGTCAGACCTATATATTGTGGGAAAACAAGCATAAATGTCAATAGATAGCCTTCAACATATATACACGCGCAAAACTTATCAGTCTGATAATTATTACTGGTGATCTTCGTTTTCTATAACCAGAACCTGAATAAAGTTGATATCGTTTAATGAGGTTTACCATATTTAAGTTCAAATGTAAAGTTTTCTAAATCGACCCCCTCGTAATTTAGGACCTAATGAGAAATAAATACACAACTTAGGAACACATGTGAGAACTCCGAAATAACTTGAAAATAATAGATTACTATTACAGAGTTTTAGAAGAAAGGTAAAGATGATGAATTAATCTATAAAATAAATCCTCGTGTTTATGTCAAGTAGAATTTACCTGTTAAGTTGCCTTATCTTCCTAGAGATTGTAAATTGTTTCTATTGGTATTTATGAGATAAATATGATTGGTTAGCGATTTCAACTTTTGATAGCCATAGCAGGGGAGTGGGAGAAGGAGCAACGAGTTTTATGTGCTATTCAACTTTTGATAACCATAGCAGGGGAGTGGGAGGAGGAGCAAGGAGTTTTATGTGCTATTCAACTTTTGATAACCATAGCAGGGGAGTGGGAGGAGGAGCAAGGAGTTTTATGTGCTATGTGCGTCATTGTGTAAGAACTACCCAATTGTTCTTTGCCACGTATGTGCAAAAAAATTACTTTAGTTTGTAAAAAAAAAATCGCAATTACAATTTTATTCTAACCAAATTGGATAAACTAATCTCAAATTTCATCCCTTATAATTTACAATATTACAGGTCATCCCTTATTTTAATTACGGAAAAGGACCAGATCTGTCCCTTTACGATCAGAAATTAGTTATGAGTAACCTAATTTATATTTTCCTTCACTATCCACCCATGTTGTTACCCATTTTAATATTTTTATCCCTACAACTAACGGACTCTTTTAGTAAGACCCATGGCACGATCTGAAATAACCTAACCATCTACCCATTTACCCCACCCAATCGGCCCGACCCGATAGCCCCAATTCAGCAACACCAAGAGAGGTCCAATAATGCAGTCGCCTCCCTCTTCTCTGATTCCACTGGGGCATCCAACTGCCCCCAAATTTTATTTTAACATATTTCACCACAAGCTGCAAATTAGAGTTCAGCCATTCATAAATTATTTTTAGATCCTAAGATATAGAGCAATAACCAATTATATCCTAAATCTATTTCAATCAATGTGATCTCCTAGTTATTTATTTTCTAAGCTATTATAAACCTTTCCGTTCTAATTGCTCTTTCCCGGTTATACTTTTTTTTTCATTGCCACCACCTCGTCGTGGCCTTCTCTCCCCTCGTGTACAAACATGACAAATGTGTAACCACACAATTTTCATAAGTCATGGTTTACCAGTACCTTCCATGAAAAATAGAGAATTCACAAAAATATTGAGCCAAAATTCTATCTTGGGGAAGAAAGATAGAAAAAGAAAAAAAACACAATCATGGAAAACCATACAATTACAAAGGAATCTTCTCAGGGAGGAGGGCGGGATGTGGTGGTGAAAAATTTTGTTTTACCTCACTCTCTCGAGTCTAATGAAGTCTGGTAGTCTGTTTGTACTGATTATGCTTTTATATTTGCTACCAAAAAAAGAAATAAAAAAAATACTCATGCGGGCCGTTGGAGGTTTAAGCTTCAATCTCAAATTCTTTCCTCTATACAATACATTGCCTTTCTTTGCTAAAATTTGTTTAAATAGAATTTGGGGGCAGTTGAAGGCATCGGCGGAATCAAAGAAGAGGGAGGCGATTGACGTTGTTGAACCTCTCTTGGTGTTGCTGAATTGGGCTATCGGGTCAGACTGATTGGGTGGGATAAATGGGTAGATGGTTAGGTTGTTTCATATCGTGCCACGTGTCATACTAAAAGGGTCTGTTAGTTATAGGGGCAAAAATATTAAAATAGGTAACAATAGGAAAGTATAGTAGAGGAAAGTATAATGGATAACTAATTTCTGATAGTAAAGGGATAAAAAAGATGACAGTTTTGTTTCCGTTTTAATTATTTTATAATAATTTTCTTAATACATTTATTTTTAACCCTTAAAGAGTGTGATATGATTGATTTGTCCTTTCTAATACACTATTTTCATTAATTAGTTCTGCAAATATTTCTTTTTCTATAAAAAAAAATTCCTTATTCTTCTTAGTTCTCACCATTGATGATCTTATTATTCCGGCGCGCTGTCGAGATTAATCACCATTGTCGGTTACCGTTATGGAGACTATCTATTTCCACTCTCATATATTTATCTTTATATTTCCGGAGACCATTTGTTTCCCCAAGCCAGTTTTTCCCTTTAATTTGTTCTTTTCATCCAATGAAACAATTTTTTTCCCTTAACATTATTCGAAAGGAAATCAACAAAAACAATCTTATACTTATTTCAATCATCATGACATCCACTATTACTTTCTTGTGGTATGTGTATGATCTGGTGCTTGGAGTTGCTTTTATAGTGTGTATTGATTTAGTCTTTTTCAAATAAAATCTTTTATTAGACAAAAGTGTTTGCAAAATTAATTAAACAAAAGATTATATTACAATGGATAAATTAGTCATATCACACTCTTTAAGAATTTAAAATAAATATCTTAAAAGAATTGTTACAAAAATTTTAAAATAAGGGAGGTACCCGTAATTAGAGGTGTCAATGGTTCGGTTCAGCCGATTATTTTGTATAAAATATGTACCTTACCAATTTTTCGGTTATTCTATTTTGTATAACCAAAATTAAACTTTTCAAAACCGTCCTAATCATCTTTTCGGTATCGGTACGATTCAGTTAATTTTCGATATTTTTCTTAAAATGTCATGTAAGAGTCGCTAATAAAAGTTAGAACGCGATAAAATGCGTACTTACTTTGTGTCGCGATCCAAAATCCCAACATGTCGTGATGACGCCTAACACACTTGCTAGGCAAGCCGACAATCGCATAACAACTAAATATTTGAATAAAACACGTTTTAATAAACTCAACAATGAAAAAATCTCATAAATATATGAAACAACAACAACCCAGTATAATCCCACTAGTGGAGTCTGGAAGGGTAATGTGTACGCAGACCTTACCCCTACCCTGGGGTAGAGAGGCTATTTCCGATAGACCCTTAGCTCCCTCCCTCTAAGAACTCCTCACCTTGCTCTTGGGGTGACTCGAACTCACAACCTCTTGGTTAGAAGTGGAGGGTGCTCACCAGTAGAGCAACCCCCTCTTGTCCATAAATATGTGAAACAAATAACTGAAATGCTACTACAACCACCCCAAAATCTGGTGTCAGCGAGTACATGAGCACTACTAAGTATCAGCATAACCAAAACTCTAGTACAATTGTCTGAGTAATAGAATAATACTGAAGAAAATAAAAGAAAGGAAAGTCAAGGTTTGCGAGCGGCATAACAGCTACCTCAAAGTCTCCGAGTAGGTACTAGCACGGATCTAGCAATCACCTTGTCCAGATATACCTAGATCTACACAGGAAGTACAAAGTGTAGTATGAGTACAACCGACCACATGTACTCAATAAGTAATAGAACTAACCTTGGACTGAAAGTAGTGACGAGCTACAGAATGATACAGTCAGAACCAATATAATGACAACACATGTAGAATAGTGACAATGACAATAAATAACTCAAAGAAATTTCCAAAATCAACTTGTTCATAGTATAGAAATTTAAACATGCTTTCAAGTTCATAATTAAAGACCAACACTGATAAGAACATGCCAAGTATAGCTAACATGAGGAACGGTCTATCTCTATGCCTACATGTCAAATGTATGATTTCACAGTGATATTCCCAGGTACTCACACTCTCGGAGTACTCAGTCTGTCTGCCAAATGCTCACACAATCCACACACAATCACCCAGCACTGTACGGGTGCTTGGCATCAATGCCCCTCACCAAAGCACGTGCATATATATCATTGTGCCTGCGCTCAAAACTGGTATGTCAGACTCCATAGGGGCGGATCCTGCCCAAGCGCTAATATAAAGCCTATAAGGCCTGTTGCGACGTGCAACCCGATCCACAAAATAATCATAAAGTCGATATGTCCTGCTTCAGCGTGCAGCCCGATCCACAATAACAGTCACAACTTAGCTCTCAATCCCACCTTATTCATCAATCTATCAAGTCTCAAGTGATCACAATCTCGTACTACTCAGCCCAAATAATAATAACATGTGATGTAACAATAAATGATAACAGAGACTGAGATATGATATGCAAATGAAGGATCATGACTGAGTACATAATTGCACTTAAAGCAGATAACTCAAAATAACAGAATTAACCTCACTAGGTCTCAATAGAATAAGCACATAGCCTAAAAATGATTTCTATCATGAATCACAATTCAATTACTCTAACAAGTAAGGATTTCACGGATAGAACAAGACTTGATAACAACACAGTACAAAAGAATCAACTGGATCATGATTACCACGGTGCACGCTCACACGCCCGTCACCTAGCATGTGCGTCACTCCAACACAACACAAATAACACATTTTTCAGGGATAAATACCCTCAATTCCAAGTTTAGAAATGCTACTTACCTCAAAGTATGCAATTCAATGCTACAAAAAATCCTACCCACGCGAATCAACCTCCGGACGACTCGAATCTAGCCAAACAACTTAATTCCATCAATAATAGCTATAGGAAATAATTTCAAAAGATAAAGCTAAGGTCTTTAATCAAAATCGAAAAGTCAACTCAAAAGTCAAACCTGCGCCCATACCTCGGAACCCGACAAATTCACAAAATCCGAACACCCATTCAGTTACGAGTCCAACCGTACAAAAATCATCCAATTCCAACCACAAATCGCCCTTCAAATCCCCAAATCTCACTCTCTAATACATAGTCCAAAAATTCTCAAATTTTACCTCAAGCACACATAATCTAGGTGTAAGAATCAATGAGTGAACAATATTTAATCAATAAAAGTGATGAATCTTCACTTACCTCTTTAATTGTAGCCAAAACCCTCTCAAAAATTGCCTCTAGACGAGCTCCACAAGTCCAAAATTAGAGAAAATTATGAAACCCTTCCTTTTAACATTCTACCCAGCACTATCACACATGCGCCCCCATTTTCCGCTTCTGCGGTCAAGGGGTCCGCTTCTGTGGAACTCACTTAATGCCTGACCAAGCGCACCTGCGACCCCTCATGTGCACCTGCATGACCGCTTCTACTATCCTGCCTTCGCTCCTGCGCGTCCGCACCTGTGGAGAACCTCCACTTTCTCCGCTTCTGTGACTCCGGCCTCTCCTGACCAAATCCACTTATGCGCCCATCTGCCCGCACATGTGAGCTCACGCGTGTGGAATATTTTCTCGCACCTGTGCATCTACCAAGCTTCTGCCAAAACGCTTCTGCGACCCCAGGGCCTCTTCTGCGGTCTCGCACCTGTGGCCAAATCCACGCAGGTGAGATCACACCAGAAGCCTTAAGCTTCAGCAATTCCTTAAGTCCAAAACTCAATCTGATTT